AAAATAACATATGTAACCATATATGACCTTCAAACTAACCATAGATCCTTTGAAGTCTCTAGTTTCCATTCCTGCTAATCGTTGATAGGCAACGTCCCATACACAAACAGCACCATCAGCCCCGGTTGAAATGATGTATCGACCACAGGGAGAGACCTTGAACGCAGAGATAAGAGCATACTGAGTTCTCAAGATAAGTAGGTTGCTCAACCTACTTTGACAGCAGTCACAGCGGCTGAATGCCCGGAAAATGTGCGAACACAAGTACCCGTCAGCACATCCCACACTCTAACATAGCGATCACAACTACCTGAAAAAACCTTCCTGAATTCTCAAAAAAAAGTAATATAAAATAGAAGACTACAAAGAAAACTACGCCACCTCCTACAACGTAATTACAGTTGGGATGGAAATCCACACAATTCACGGATCCATAGCAATCTGGGAAAATCCTCAAGGGATACATTCGCTCTGTACACCACAACATGGCAGTATTGTCTTCTCCAGCACTGCACATGTAATAACCACGATTGGAGAATTGCACCTAAACACCGGCAAACTAGAAATACTACCTGAGGTCTTAAATCATACATCAAATTTGCACAGATTTTAAAGCCGTATTATGAGATGACATGAAAGATGAAAAACTTCAAACCTGCCACACCGGACGGCTGAGTCGATAGACCACCACATTTTTCTGCGTTTCCAAGCTCCACAATCTAATCGTACAATCCAACGAAGATGAAGCCAACAAGCGATTGTCAGGAGAAAAGTGAACCGAATATACAACTCCAGAATGGCCCTGAAACACAACAGCTTCGACGCATGGGACTGAGCAAGTGGAGATAGAAGCAATCCTTCAAAACGTACGTGCAATGTCACTTCCGACTTAGCACTCGCATCATCATAGAGTAAATCCGAAACGTTATCGGCGTCAGTATCGATCTGCAAAGCGCTATGGATGCCTTCATAGGGAGCAAACTCTTCCCCTGCGGAACCTAACTCACTCGTTCCAGCGCATCCATATCCCGCAACTTCTTCAACTTCTGCTCCTCGTCAAAAGCAGTAAGCTCTATAGAACCATCCGAGGATCTAAATAAAGGGATGAGTATCTAGACTAAGTGAATTTTCCCCACAAATTAAAACCTGCCCCATGCATAGAATTGAGGAGTCATCTGAAATATCACACGAAGAAACAAGGCCGTATGCGTTGAGAGCAGTCAGCATACATACGGAAGGAGGCGATTCCTGCGATACCAGGGTGAGCTTGGCGGCGTCCTGAAAAGTCAATTTTTAACTTTCCATAATGTTTGAAGAGCATTTCTCTAAAGGCTATTCGGAGCTAAAATAGACTTGTGTTTAAGTTTCCTGAAGCGGAGTAAAAACATCGAACAGCGACAAAAATATTGAGGTTAAGAAAGCTGTAATGGGATGGATGAAAGCTTTCGGCTTTCGGTGGGGAGAGTGATGTTCCTTGAAAGTGTAAGAGGTAAGGAATTGATATAATTTTTTTTCATAAGTTAAAGTGCAATATCTTTGAAATGGTTGAGATCCCTACGAGTTGTAATATTCATGAATATAACTGGCAAAAAGACCGAACCCGTTGAGACTTTAGAAAGGAGGTCAATTTGTTCGCTCGAAAAGGAGCCCACTCGATAATTTATTGGCCCCACGGGTCTCAAACAAACAGTAGTACTCTGGCTGTTTTAGAAAAAAAAGAGAAAATACATTAACAGAGCTATCACAACTCTACTGCTACCAGGCTCCCCCACTTTCTTCACGATTTGGGGCGCGGCCGCGGCGAGCGCGGCCGAGTCGATAGTGCCCGCGAACTGTGTGGGTAAATTTGAAAACGCATCACCACCACAGTTCGCGGGCACTATCGACTCGTCCGCGCTCGCCGCGGCCGCGCCCCAAATCGTGAAGAAAGTGGGGGAGCCCGCTACCAAAAGTTCAAAATACCAGAAAAATGAGGTAAACCAAACGTCATACAAGTTGCGGGTAAACTTGCATGAAAATCCGGTAGACAAAGAACTGAAATACAAATAAGAGATCAAATCATACCCGCATTGCTTTTCGTCGCTCTTCCCGTAGAGCTTCGCTAAGGGGCGGTAGGGGAATTCGATCAGGAACCGGGGCGAGTGCCTGACTTTTCTTGTTGTCTTTCAGGTCCTTACCTCGCGTTTTCTTCTTTTCGATTGTTTGAGAAACGTCGTCTTTAAGAACACCGTAGTACATCTAAAGCATGTCTTTATTAAGAAATATTGGTACCCCTTGATTACAAGTAATTACTTTATGCCGTTTCTCGTTTTTGGAGACCTGACCGAGAATTCCACCCATTTGTGATTCAACGCTTGATCTCAGCTTAGAAATGACATCAGAGGCTGAAACGGGTAATTTTATTCAAAGAGCGGATCGGCGACAATCGACGGCGAAATGACCAAATGGTTGAATCAACTACCTTCTATGGTAATATGCTCCTTAACAATATTTTTGATCGTAGGTGTACGTGCCAAAGGAATTTCCAGTTGCTTTATTGATGATTTGGACATTTTGACCAGAAAAGGATTTTTCCTAAACATTGAATCAAGATGGTGATTTGAAAAAAAAAGTCATAAATGGTACTTACATCAAAAGCTGTATATAAGTGTCAGCTTGGGCCTGATGCGCAGATTGAATTCGCTCCAGGTTGTAGACAAGCTCTTCGTAGGGCGTTGGTATTCGTTTACAATAGCGTTTAAAGAATTCTCTAGCTGCAATACAGCAGGTACTTCTGATTAAATCATTCACATAAAAAAGCGTAGAAAGAAAAATTCTCGCAACGCATGGACTTAAATTTGATGAAAAAAATGTTCACTCCCTATGGCATGTGCTACGATATCAAGGAATTAGTAAAAGAAGCCGGAATGGCGTTCAGTAAGTGGATAGAAAAACACGAGGACCTCTTTGGGCCTGAGAAAAAGTATGAGCGCAGAAAATGTTAACGTTATAAAAGCGCCTCTACGAAATGCTGGTGAGGATGAATCGCACTGTTACTGTTGCAAAATGGGATGGAACCATTCACTATTAGGTGGCCGGAAGACATATACAAATGGTACCCCAAATATAGGAGCAAAGCAAAGATTTCTTAGACGACAAGTAGCAAGCAATACAATGAATACATGTGAGCTTGCACGGCGATTGCTGAGTATTCCATCCTTTACGCTGATTTTACACACATAAGATGAATAATTGTGTGAAACGGTCCATTCACTTACCATTATTCACAGAATTTTCCATAAGTAGCTTGATGTAGGAATGTGCAAAAACTGGATACAACATGAGACTGAATTCCGCTTGGAAGAAGTCGAACGAAGAGTCCACAAATTGTATGAGGGAATCAAACTCCGACAGCAAAGCGTCACTGAACATGAAAAACATTGACACAGCACTTGATTGTCCAAGCTTTGCCCACATTTATTCTCTCGTTTATTTAAGCACAAACTATTTATGCAACTGCTTTTCTATATTGCTGCATCATGTCTTTCGTTTGTCTGCCACCCTATTCGACCACACAGTTACAAAAAAGTACATTACATTGAAAAATAAAAAAACATGGATCGCGCCGACGCGTTGCTCAGCACTCCCACGAAGAATGATATGGCAAAACACAAATGTTTGGCAGTAGATTGCAAAAAAGCAACAG